AAACGAAAGATTATATTAACTGTTAACAATTAGATTTTTTACTTAACAAACGTTTCTTTGTTTATCCAATGTTTTTTATTTGGCTACCTGTTTATATGACTGTCTTGTTATCAGGCTAATCGCCAAGATTATTGTTTCATTGTCAAAATTTACGTGCTGTTGAAAATGAAGTACCATTCATTTCTGTTTTGAAGAATTTGTGCTCGGACCAAAGAAAATCAATTTACCAAGTATACCAAGTTTACCAAAATATATGGTTGATATGTTCTTCATCTCTTTTTCTAAAAAAATGTTGGTACCTACTACTTAATGAACGGTTTCTGTAAATTATCTTTTGTGAGCATTTTTGAATAGATACCCAACATAAGTAGTTCTTTTTCGATGTTAATATAAATATACTGAGTAATAATACATTTAAATGGTAATACTACGTTGAGTCAGTGTACTGATAATGGCTGTTACATATTTGTCACAATTTGTATTCTCTAATGTTTCACTTAATTACCCGTTTCCTTTGTTTACGAAGACTAACTGCTGGCTGCAACAGCTTTAGTTTGGTAGTTGGTTTCAACAAATGTATGTTTCACATACATAAGTGAACCAGAATTTTCTGACACAGATTTTCCTTGGACATTTCAATAATGTAGCAACATGGCATAATCAAACCCGACTCCATGTGCTCAACAAACCCTGACACTTGCTGGCATTCCATGTCTGACACTGCGATATACACACACAAGGTATCACAAAAGTCTGGGAGCTTAACTTTGCGATGTATTTTTTGTTCGTTTTTGTTGGATGAATGTATTGAACGACATAATTCTCGCGTGAACGGTTTAGGAAGCGAATAAGCGTGGTCACTATGTTTCTCGAAATGGTCATGATTTGGACTGGAGTGACTTCGGGAATAGACCGCTGATTTTTGTGATTTCCGGATCAGCGTGTCAAGTCGAACCAATTTTGCAGCCATAATCACCTCCACGGAGTGGTCCCCCTACTCGCCTGAGTTGAATCCCCTACACTTTTCGGGGTGTAGAACAGGCCTTGAGAGCAAAGGACAAATCAGAAGGCATATACGATCGCGACGTCGAGTACCTCTTCGCCATGGTGGCTACATAGCCCAAGCGTCTGCATGAATGCCTGTATGAAGGCGAAGGGTGGATACGTCCAATTTGTGTTCATTGTTGTTGGTTAATGTTTAAATAAAATGTATGCCAAATTTCATGTCCCTGTACTTACGTTGTTTTTATCAACAGAAATACCATGCTAATGGACATTTTTGTGACACCCTATACAAACCGGGTTTTCCCCCAGACCTCAACCTGTTCAATTGAGATTAACTTCATTTCGTTATTGAACCTCCAGCGATTGTCTCTCATGCCTGTAAGAGGCATGGGAGCCTCTTAGATTGCACCCAGCTAAAGTGTCCAAAAAATTATGAACATGCTTACGTTCCTCTACCTTAGAACTTACTTCCTTACCCTACCATGAAAGATAACATTTGCTGTACTTATCTATCTCCATATCACACAGTTTCATATTTATTCCTTTTTTGTAATGCCAAAGATGTCATTACTTTTCAAAAACTGTTTGTCCCACTAACAAAGTTTCAAAATGGAACTCATTAATGTTAATTAAATTCCATCCCCTCTGCGGATTAAAGAATAAAACTTGCTTCATGATTGGAGGCAATGGAGAGGTATAAATGTTAAAATATCAACAAAACCAGTTTATGATCTTAATTAACTCATATACATCGTCACCACCCTCACCATTCCTTTTCAAAGATGCGAATCACTACACATTCAACATGTTTTGCCGACATGTCTTTAAACTATAAGTGAACGCTTTTTATTGCTACAACCACGCCTGAGAATAATTAAAAGTTCATAATTCATAGAGTAGCTATCCAAGGTGTGTTCAGTTGAAATTTCAATAATTGTTAATAGGACTAGAATTACTTGCAATACGAATTGAAACGAAGATTTTTTATTTATTAGCTGCCCCTATTGAAGATTTAGTACCTATCAAATGCACAGCAGTAGCCACATGAACCGCATATCTCAACCAGAGCACAATTGCCTTGGATGAATTGCTTTGTAGAATGATGCCCGATATGTTTCAAGGTCTCATTTTTGAACTTATTTTAGAAGAAGCTTGCAAATGGTATTCGAAACGTCAAACAATGTTATTGAACTTACAGCATAACCTGGAAGTTCATACTTTTAATTTTTCCCAATTTTTGAAATTCTTTATGAAATGCTTTTTCTTCATTTTATCGATCGTGTGTAGTGTGGAGTTGTCAGTTAAATACAAATACTCAGATCACATTTAGCAGTAATTGTTGATGGGTTAAAAATAAAGATTCTCTTAAAAATGTAACCAATAATCTATTATCTCGTCTCTCACACTATACGTCAACCATCTAGAAAATAAGAGAAAACACTCTACAATTTGAATAGAAAAAAAAACAGGTAGACAGTAATGATAGTTCCTGAAGGGTAAATTTAAATTCCGATTGTTGCTTTTTACTAACATCAAATATTCTGGCAATGTTTGTGAAGAAAACTTGCAGGCTAATTCACCACTGGAATCAGATTGCACAAGTTGTGTTTTGACATCGAGGAGTTGCTGGAAAGCGATTAATCTTGCATATTAATACCAAACAATGCTAGATTGCTGCTGTGTAATTAAAGATTATTTCAATAACTTCTGTAATAAACTACAAGAATTACAGACTCATGAAAAAATTTGAGAATTGGAGATAAAGTAAAGCAAATATAATGAGTATGGTTTCGGTATTATCACTTTGAGATCTCAGACACTAGTTAAATGTAATAATGATACAATTTTTTGGAAATAGGCAGATTTTCAGTTCTATTACATTACAGGTCTTCTTATTAGACCCACATGTTCTAGTCATACGAAAAATTGTTAAGAAATTGTGAACATAGAGCTATTTTAATGCCGCTTTAACCAAGTTCTAGAACCTATTGCTCTATAATCATAAAGTTAGGTTTCTTCTGCCCTAAAGATTATCAAAGTATTTACATTTTGGTTTGTATTGTGGTCACTTGAAGTATCACAAAATACTAACAGCTCTGTAAGTGTACTAGAAAGCTCATTTATGTACTTGTATAAACAATTCTGTCTGTTATCTGTTGTAACTTTTACCAACCAATTAATGCATTAAGAACAATCTATGCTTTTTGGCAGTATTTATTTATTCGTGTTTCACTTTTTTTCTGTACCTACCAATTTTCTGTATCGTCTGTATCTAAAGATTCGTAATCTCTATTTCTGTTGTGATGTCGTTAAAGCATAAAGTATACTCAACTTGTTTTTGTTCTCCACTACTTAACAATAAAAATGTTTAGAGGAAGTTGGCAACCATGAAAAGGCTACAACATCCATCTATATCAGGTGAAAAGCTGTAGGAGGATTATGTTATCTATAAAGTTGATAACTGATACGACATTTGAATCAAAAATATGCCAAGTAATTATCCCTGCTACCATGTGCAGCTATAAGAACAAATTTAACGGGATGGTAGATCTTGTGACATGCAACCAGTGGTTTTGACCAGCAAAAATTATAATTACATGCAAAAGGAATTCTGAAAAAATATACTTTTAAATGATAATCTAGTCATATATGCCGTTTATCTATTCCATTCCTTAGACGTTGTGTACTTTCTTCCATTTAAGCAGTAAGATAGATTAACAGCTTACAAAAAAGAATGAAAACACCAAAACAGGATTTCCCCTTTTCTTGAGTTTAGCGCTGTTCCTAGTAAAGATGTTTGCAAGGAGAAAAGTGCTATTAAACGGAATCTGGTTTCTAGATTGAAAGAGTGCGGTGTAATAGATGTTAGTCTCAATTGCTGCGTTGCGAACCCTACCCTGTGATGATCATGCTATTTCAGGAAATGTACAAATATCAAAGTATAGAAGTAAATAATAATGATAATAACGCTAAACATTATATGTTGTGTAGATTACGAATCTTTCGAATACGCAGAACTACTCTTAGATAACGTAACTGGCATGTTTGATTTAGTTAAGCTTTTTTCCGATTAACGAGAGAAAGCTGAATTCCGGTTTATTTATCTTGTCAATTGCGTAAAAGGCGCAAGAATAAAGAATTGGATTTAAAAAAACTTGCTTTAATTTTTGAAGTTAGTACATATTAAAATATCATTCTTACATATGTAACACAAAATGTAGCTGAGGGATTGCAGTGAGCAGCTATTATATTAATTTTTGTGTGAGATTAAATGCATTGGCTCTATAATTAACAGACACGTAGTCGTCTTTTACTCTATTCCATGGAAGCTAAAGTAGCTTTTGGTATAAGACAATGAATTGCTAGTGGGAAAATGGTTCTGTTTTCTTTAATAGAAGCATCAAAGAAACATCTTTCCCAAGTTCTATTGAATATGGACAAAATTTAATCTCATCTTAATCAATAGTAATTGAAAAAATATTGAAATGAATAAGCCTGTTCTGCCAAAACATATGCCTAGGAATCTTCCTAACGCCATTGCATTTGGTAAGGTCCAGTAAGAAATTTGATGCTATAAATTGGATATACTCCTTCCTAAACAAGATTTGGTACTTTCAGAATCCTATTGGAGTGATAAATACTTAGAATCAAGCATAAAGAGGCCGAAATGGTCTAAATTATATACCACATTTGAGGCCAAAAGAAAATTCTTCAATTTGTACTAAAATTTATGTTTTGAAATAATTAAAAAAAATAGAATCTAAAATTATTTTTATATTTTTTTAAAAATAGCCAAATAGTCTTACGCATTGAGTCAACTCAAATACTGCTTACAATACTGTCTGAAAGTTGTTAAATTAAAAGGTCAGGAAACCTAAATAAAATCTAAACAACTCAACCAACTCTAATTTTAGAACCTTTTTTATCATAAACAGAAACCAGAATAAGAAATTGATTCTCAAAAAATTTCTTAAATTAATTAATTTAACTCTCACCTTTTGTATTGATGAACAACTCCTTCGTTGTCCTTGAATCATACCTAAAAACCAAAAGAAAATTTCAATTAAAACATATCAATAAAAAAAATTAAAAATCGCTAAATTATTTAATAATAAATTAATGGATAACAGAAGAGAGAGCTTTCTTTAGCATAGAGGAGAGTGCCTCACAGATCTAAATATAAGTGCGTAAAGAGAGGTACATAAGCAAATTGGTAAACAATGGGGCGCTCGAAATTGTAAATGTTTACGAAATCGGTCTAAAAATATGACGCCGGCTTCCGCCCGGGGCTTAAAGCCGTATCCCCCTTTCGTCTCTTAGCCCCCCAACGGGCACTACTACTGCCTTCACTCCGATTTCCCCTGAATCTTCGGAGTACCACAAAACTAATTTTCTAAGTTGGACTCATCCGGTATTTTTGGTCAAGAAACAAAATTAAGGTCAATTCTTGTTTTGTATTTTTAGAAACTTCAATTAGATATAAAAGAAATTAAGATGAGAAGTTATTGAGAAAAAAAATAACAATGACAATAAAATAAAAATGTGGACGGATGGTGTGAGTACGATGTTTAAAAAAAATTTCTTCAAAGAGAGAGATAATAGGTTCAATTAAACGAGTATGTATACGTAGAAAACGGCGAGTGGTCGCCGCAAGGGGGCGTACAAATTAAAGTCCAACTTAATATAGCTTTAATGACGGTGTCATAAGGCCAGCAGTGGGCTATTTTTAGACGACGAGTGCCTTCCACGTACGACTCAGGATCGTCCATAAACTTAAACGATTTAAGGAGCATCTTAGTATAATCCAAAAAGAAACTTGAAACCCAACAAAATGAGAAGCTACAAAGAGATTTTATGTAAAAAGCTCACTTTATGATTTAATGATATTTTTTTATTGATTTTTGAAAGGTGCTTTTTTTTATTATTTTTACAAGTTTCTTTCAGAAGCTTAATGCTCCTTTCGATATGTTTTATGACTAATATTTTTATATGGCATAGATTTTTCAAAGTATTTTTAAATATTGTATTGTGAGGAATATTTGTATATTTTTGTTGGTATATTGGGTGTTTTTAGTAATGATAGCACAATTATTCTTGGTTTTGCCAATTCTCCTCCACGATCTATCCACCAAAAACATCCCTAAGTTAGTGAAATATGAGGATTGGGTTAGATTTTAAAATTTTGGCAGCAAGTTTAAAAGAGAAAAAAAAATAACAAACTCCTTATGTTATGACCAACACAGCAGAACATAATGTTATAAAAGAACAGGTTACGCCTTGAAAGATGATTTAATGTATTAAGACCAATAGATTGCTTAACACGTTTCTTAGTATTTTTTTATTACGTGAATAACACGAGAAATTGTTGTCAATTGGATTAATACATTAAAAAAAATTATTGTTTAAAACTTGGAAAAACAAACTTTGATGATGTTGTGTAAGTTTTTGGCAATATGATAAATTAAAAAAAAAAATAGAGAAACATATCAGTACAATTATAATAATAATAATATATAAAAGGTATAATCGCATATATACGAACTTTCCAGCTGGGGATAGATCACTTCTTTCAACACCTTGATGTTGCGGAATATGATATGTGACCAAATATCATAAAGTAACTATATAGGGATTATATAGATATGCAGACTTGATGTGTTTTTTCGCATCTCTTAACATTGTCCCTATTATCTCTTCATATCGTCAGTTAGATATGATAAAGCATAATTTTATCTTTTTTCTATATTATCCTTGTCTATCAATATCATCTCTGGTCTTCCTCCATATCGTCCCTATTCCTTTGAGGGATTAAAAATCATTCTGTAAATATTGAAAAGTCAACTTCAGTTAAAATGTAATTTTTGATGGATTGCGATTGGTGAAATTTTTATATTTTGTACAGCAAAATAGTGATTCTTGCTCAACGACTTATTAAAATTTAATTCCAGCTTCCATAGATTGCGACGTTTAACTTACAGATTCTGCACAATCAGATTTATTACCTTTTTTTTTAATAGTCAAACATTTTCCTTTTTTTCTGCGAAAACGTTTGAATGAACTTTATCATCAAAAAACAGTTCATCATCGTTTCCTTCAATTCAACTCAATGTGTTGTTATATCATAAACTTGCTGTCACTTATTGGTAGATGGTGTAACTTTTGACCATGAAGAACTCAATCAGGACAGGTTAATATCTGCTCTTAATGCATGTTTACTCTGTATCTGACATTCGGCAATATCGTTCTTGTTATCGTTTAATATTATAACGTTCAAGAACTAGGTTAACACGTTAAGATGATTAATTAATTTCTTGTTTGAGTATCCTATGAAATATAAGATTAATACTGGTGTCGCCACTTAAATCGAACAATTATGTTAATTTACAAGTTGTTTCCATCACAAAAAGAAATTTTGAAATTCTGATGGACAGATGAAGACGAAAAGAGAAAATTAACGATAGATTCTAATAAGAGAATAGAATTAATTACGAACTAGAGTTAACCAGCACAAGATGTTTCTTAAATTAAATGAAAACGTAGGTATTAGAAATTCAGTACAGTGATAGAAAATATGGATATTCAGAATTTTAAACTAATGGTCTACGAAAATTTAATGCTGAAACAATGTACAGTTCCATACCAGAACTATTTTGGTTCTCTATAAGGAATTGCAAAAATTTAAACCAACACTCACTACATGGTGACCACGAGGAACATTTATTTTTAATGGGACAATTAGTTAATGGTTCATTCTGCTGATGTATCATGCTAGCTCACTGATAATGGTTCAACGAACATTTCGAATTCATTTCAATAACAGCCTCTATCAGTCTTTAACCGACCAAACTTATGAATAAGGTTAAAAAGTTGTAAACTACGATCTACATGCAAAATCACATACACATTGAAGGAGTGAGAACATTATAGACCATCAGATCCAGATATTTAGCCACATGACATGCTGTTATATTAAACGTAAGACGTAACATAGTCAGAAAGTTTTTCAAAAAGAATATCAAAACTGCAGACAATAAGGTTGCAAAAAAAAGGTATTCTAAATTGATCATTTGCAAGTTTTTGTTGTATAGATATTTGAAAGATCGCATACAATGTTTGTGATTTGGATGACTTAAATGTGAGGATTCGAGAGAAAGGTGGAATCAGAGACTCGACGACACATACAATATTTTTCACCGCAAAAAAAAGACAATAAAATCAAAACCAATATCATAGATTTCACCTGCTTCTTTCACATAACATTGATATACCACTGTCCTACAGAGCAACAGGAGGAAGAAACGAAGGAATAATTCTTTCAATTAATAGAGGAAATATGATACATCACAAAAAAATGATATCGAAATTATCGTAGATGATATAAATGCGACAATAGGCAATGAAGAACAGTTCCGGGAAGCAATGGGAAGGCACGCACTGCATGTTAGCTCTAATGGAAACGAAGAATACCTAATTAACTTTGCCACTAGTAAAAGTATGAAGTATCCAAAAAGCCATTTGGATATCGCCGTATGGAGGCACGGCTAACCAAACAGACCATGACCTTATAGATAAAAGAGTAACAGTCAGGAACAAATTGGACGTTAAAGCAAGAGGAGGAGCGTGCCTCGGATCTGTTCACCATGAATGAACTAGAAACGCAAAAACTTATACAAGAGGGACAACCACATCTACTACTAGTGATTTAAAACAACAATTGAAGAAGCAACAATGACATTAGGCAAAGAAAAGAGGAAGAAGAGTAACTTGGTTTGATATAGAATGCAGGAAGGCGATAGAAGACAGAAACGCAGAGTACAAGAAGTGCATAGCAAGAAGAACAAGAAAGATTTTGATTTCTTTAAAATTATCCGTTTTGCAACTATTGTGTAGATCACAGCCCACTCTTAACGTATCATTAATCTAAGATGACGAGAACATATCTCCATTAAAAAAATTTTCTCCTAAAACTACTTTAAGTTTTTCTCGGTATAACTTGAAAAGAAAAAATATGTATACGGTATTCAAAGAAAATAAAATATACCTTGCATTGTTGACATATCAGATAGTAGATATTCAAGCCAAATTTCAAATTTTTTCGTACACTGGGTTTGAAAAAAAATTCGTTACCTAACTTGCCGCCAACCTCAAAAATCAGGTATTTGACAAATATAAGGTAGAAATGTTCAGAGATTACTGACGATGTTTAAATTGACGAGAATTGAGTTTACAAATTATACCGAGAAATACTTATATCGAGTTTATCTTGCAACTGTTGAACCGGCCCTCGAAACAAGATATGTTAAGAAAAGAATCAGAAAGATTTCAAGAAATGTAGAAGACTTTTGCCCATGATGGTCTGAGATATTATTTCTTTATTGAAAATACCTTCAGCTAGGTTAACAAACCTACTATCAAGGCAATTATTGCCCTTAGTACGTTGCATTATTGTGGGTAAAACCCAAAAGAAAAAAAATACAGAGTTAAGTAACATCACAATCTTACAACTATAATAATAGGGCAATTTTCAGCTGAAGAATTCTACTTCCACAATGGAAGGTTGTCAAGGACACAGTTATATAGATGTGGAAGTTTTAAAAATTAACGTTTGTTGTTTTCCTTTTTTTTAAGTTGCAAGGATTAAGAACAAAACGCAATCTCATCATTGTTCAAAATATTTATTAAAAGTATGCTTATTTCCATACACTATTTCGTCTTATCCTAAGCAATGTGTAGCTGTAATGACAATGAGTACTTCATCTTTATTTTAAGGAAAATTACTCCACTTGTTTACCTTAATCCTCAGGATTGAAAAGTTATTATTAGGCTTGTTCGCACAACTCTGTCTAACTGTTATTGACTAGTTCTGTTTCTGACTTGTTAATATGTCAAATAGTGTCAAAGCGAATCTATGTACACAAACGAGATTCCAATCCAATTAGAAATTGTTCTACGGAAAAACCTATTATGTTACAATTATGAAAATGATGATGGTATCTTAACATATCACGATTTCTTTCATATATCATATATATCCCACCG